TTCTTATATTCCATAAAAACAAAAACTTCTAAACTTTACATTGCAAAGCCCTAGACTTCACTAATTTTATTGTCGATTTAGTGATTTTTTCTTAACATTGTTTTATTTTTAAAATATGAAAACTTTGATCAAATCACTGCTTTTGTATTCGTTTTGAAAAACATTTTCTGTATTAGTAATCAGAACTCGGAATATAATCCCAACACTTCTAACCAAAACTAACCGATAAAATAATAATAACAACAAAAACGGTTACACTTTATTGAATAACTTAAGCAAAGAGATGTGTGTTTGCGTTATTGTGATGAGTAAATGTAAATAAATAAAAAATAAAATCGTTACTATATAAGATAGTTTTCTTGATATAATTTTCTAATACAAAAGCAAAGGAAATATTATTATAGAGAAGGAGTGTTTAGAAGAAAATTTAATTCAAATTTGTTTGAATGAAAAAGTATTGGAATGAGAAGAAAGAATTTTTTGTCGAGACTGTGATTATGAATGAGTGAATGATTGAAAGGGAGAGAGAGGGAGAGGGAGAGAGAGAGAGAGAGAGAGCTGGATGTAGTCATAACTATAGTTATAATGAGAGAGGCAAATTGTTTATTATTATAACAATAACACATATTTGCTAATTCTTAGCGAAAGATTTGCAGCACATTTAACACAGAAAAAAGATTTTCGGTTTAGATTTCTTCTCTCTCACGAAAGATATAAGTGTTTCTCAACAAAAAAAGTTTAACCAAATGTGTGTATATATATACGAGAGCGAGAAATATATGGTGTGTATGAGTGCGCAGATGACGACAAACTTATGAGAACCGTATGGGGAAAGAGACAAATTTTCATTTAATGTTTTTGGGAGCAAAAGGGGATACGAAAAGCAAAGCAATGCAAAGCAAAGCTGCAAAACTAACTTATATTCTGTTCATATATACATAGGATGCTCTCTCTCTCTCTCTCTCTCTCTCTCTCTCTCCCTCGCATCGTATTTAGTGTGTGTATGTAGTGTTGGAAATACAGTGAAATTACTAATATCTGGAAAAATCAATACTTTTTAATATGCATACCGTGCAGAGCAAGAAACACAAAAGGCACGACTTCGCAAATCAATACCAGAGGCAAAGCACAGGCACACAGAGCACAGGCATTCATAGACATAACGGGGCATAAACTGACTGGAAATAAGGGTATGATATGATGTGATATTATTTGATATGATACTCCAACTCCTCAAATGAATATCGAGATATTGCGTACGAATACCAATAGAAAATGATAAGCAATGATATGATATGACTGTGATATGTACTCAAACATAAAACTCGCTCTTTTTGTACGCCTTTAACACAATATATACGGTATTGTCGTCTATAGCCATAGCTGTGCACACAGTGTATAGCAATAAATGTGAATATTTTGCAACCAATACGAGTACTAAAGCAAAGGATGGATGCATTCATTCATTTTGATAAATCACAATAAGAGATGAGAATAGTGTTTGCAAAGTATTGCCGATCACATGGAAATTTGGTGTATATTTGGTGAATACATTTCAATGTGATGTTCAAATAATGATAGAAAACTTATCTCTCACTACCAATACATCGGCCCAACACAGCGGGCGACAAATTTTCATATATTTTCAAACCCAACAACAAAAACATAACTAATGTTTTGCTTCTCCACCAAAAATCTTATTCAATTGATAAAGAGTTTTAAAATAGTTATATGAAAAATATTATGCGCTCTTGTATTGTATCATAATATACACCAAACTCTCGGCGATACTGTATATGCCTTTTATATAATGCAAACATTTTTCTAATACACTGTATTATATGTATAAATGTATGTTTAGTTCTCAACATTTGTATCGTTAACTTATTCCACAAATATGTAAATAAAATCATTTTCTAATACAAAGCAAAGCACGGAAACTGTTAGACATTTTCAATACAAAATTGATTCTCGAAATAAAATATATATATAAAGAAATATTCAGTAAAAAGAGTGTTTGATTTGGAGGCAAATGTGTCGCAAACAGCGAATGAATATATATTTTTTAGATTTAATTAAACTCCAAATGAGTTGATCGGAAAATATTATTGGAAAACAGTTTATTGAAAAATATTTATGTCTCACAAAACACGTACAGCCGTAGAGATAGACAATAATGTCAATCGTGTCTAACATTTGGTATTTACTTCTCAAAACAATCTCTCCAATGATTTTGAGCATCACATCAATTGCCAAATCAATCACTACTAATGTTATGTTAGGCTTATATTTTGGAGTCCAGATTACACGAGACCAACAAAAAAAGGTTAGATCCTATCGAGTGAGACGGAGGAATGGGGAGAGTGTGTGAGCCCTGACCAGCATTCATAGCATAGTTGGCATGGGAGGGGAAGGGAGCACAAGTGAGAAAAGTGGCTGTGAGTTAACACAAACACACGACTCAATTGCTCGTAATAAGAGCAGACAAGACAACTGAGATGAGAGCCAAAAGTGGCCTAAGCTTTGATAAGACGACTGCTCTCTCGCTGGCAGTATATATCAGTTGTTTGTGATCTCCACTACACTCACAATAATCTTAAATTTTGTGATCCCTAACAGCGAAAGGCATTCCAGTGTTGCGACAATAATGCCTAACCATCTCTCGTACAGTGTATATAAGTTTAGATACCTTTTTCTGGTTATTAACTCAAATCAAATCATTGTTTTGAACAAAAATGTACTAAAGAGTAGACGTGAGAAAACATTTTATTTTGTTTAACTGCTATTCATTTAACTAAACCAAAAGCATAATTGATTTGCAGCATAAAGAGCGCATTGCCTCCAGACTTGACGTTTGGATAGATTTTAAATAAATACAAATTTAGGATTTTTATTATTTATTGAACACAAAATTTTTCGATCAGTTGTTGGGGTTTAAGGAATTGAAAGTATTGTAAATATAACGCTTAAGGCGTTTGACAAAAAAACTTATGCCTATTTGTTGAGCATTGCATAGCAATGCAAAGAAAAACAGTTTACTTTTCACACAACAAAATAGTTATCCTTTTCTTGCTTTGATATAAAGCCAGAGACTTATAGTCGCGGATAGAAAGTGAGAAAAATTGATTATATTTTCAATATTATTAGATATCAATAGAGAGAGAAATGACTAGTTTTTTGGTCAGTATTTGGTTCAGAGATGATAACAGAGTGCGAGTGAATGAAAGAGTGGATGCCTTAATCTGGAGTTGACTTAAGTGTTAGTTTTTTGTTGTTGTGTTGTTAGTGATAGAGTGAGTGGTATTAGAGTCAACACAAATGGATGGGTATAGAGATGCTGACGAGAGAGAGAGAGAGAGAGAAGCAAAGTTAGGTGTGAGTTATCGGTGCACCAAATGTGAGCGACGACTGAAAGCATGCTTTGCTTCAGTGATGCAAAGATCGCGCGAAAAACAACAGTTTGGCGTTGAATTGAGGCATAGAGTGAGTGGTGGTGTGTGTGAGGAGAGTGTGTGTGGTTTAAGTGAATTGAAATGTTTGTATAAAAATGAAAGAAATATTGGAATCCAATTGATCTGAACATCGAGAAGATGAAGAGGAATACGAAGAAAAATAGAGAGAAATTGTTGCATCGGTTTTGACATTTGAATGCATTCAGAGATTTGTGTTGAAGGCGTACAGAAAATAATACATAAACTTTATGTGTGTTTTCAATGCCTCTCTCTCTCTCTCTCTCTCTCCACACACTGTTTGTGTACAACATTTATAAATAATATGAGGGGAAGAGTAATAAAAATAGAGTCCAATTGAGTGACGGCTTCACAAAACTTCTTATGCATCGCTTTTTTGTTGTTGTGATGCCATTCACTGAATGTGCAATACTTTTGCCTATTGAACAGCTATTGAAAGCACATTTCATTAACCGTTTCGTAAATGAGTCGATCAGTGAATGCACTCTAAGATTAATAATACACACAATGAATGCTTTCATATATCAAACATATATTATATACCCGTATATATGAGCGCTATATGTCTAGCAATGCTTTTCTGGCTATCGATTTCTAATCAATAGGAATCGGCTTTAAATCACATAATAAGACAACAACTCGTATGCAATGGGAAAGCATACAAACGGCTCACACATAGGGTTCGCACAAACGCCAGGAGCACAGCGTTTGCCACACATTCGGCGTCCGAAACGCGACTCATGTCTGCGATTCCGGTGCGATAGCCGTCGAGAAAAGGGTTACTTTTAAAGTAAGAATTGGCGCCACTTTTGAAACAAGTCATCGCAACAGTGGCTAAGCTTTCGCATACGAGTGCCAAACAAGTGATGGATAGGTATGTGAAAAGTGTAACAAATGAGTCTTACCTGCAATCGCGTCAAATCGAAACTCTTGCAGAAATGAATTATCAACTGCACGTTGGGATCAGCCATTGCGCCCAAACCAATGCAAAAGTGCCAATCTTTCGCTTCACCACCGCATACACCGCATTGAGGCGCATGTCCTCCACAGACACCACCACCACTGGTGGCTGTCATACGCGAACAGTGGTGCCCACACCCAGGCCATGGCAGGGGGTGGGGGCACTCCCTCATACCCCTTCACTAAACTAATTGTCAAGTAGAATAAGCTTCCAACACTCACAACTAGCAATGCCCTAGGTCATTATATTTTGTTTAGAAATAGATTTTGTATAAAAAGTTGTGAAAATTAGTGAATAATGCATGAGTTTGAAAGTATGTGTGCACTCAATTGGTGACCTATCAATGAGCAAGGTGCATTACGAATGCCACCTAATTGTATTTCAAATAGGAAAACTTTTCCAGGTGAAATAAAATTCATGATATGTATCGCCTGTAAAGCGAGCACTTGCGGGCATCACTGGTGTATGTGTGCAGCACTGGGAGGACAGGGATGATAGGTTTGAGTGCACTCGTAGCGGCCTCTAAGTGCGGGTTCAGTGACTATACATTCATAATAATAGCGGTAATAATGTCTGACTTTGTGCTCATCTGTGACTCGGTCTCCAGTCTCACGACAAGTGCCGCACAACCGGACCACAGATGTGCCGATCGGGAGGTGGTGTGGACGGGGGGACAGGGAGGGCCGGGAGGGCAGTGGGAGTCTCGCAGTTTGATGTACTACTCGGACAATCAGGTATTCATTTGGCAAACGACCGATCAATGCGTTTATTGCCTCACATTAAGGGACGAGACATCCATAACAAGTGTTCAGGTATTGTGTTATTGTGTGCTTTCAAACTGTTATGCATTAATATAATTGAATTGAATTGAATTTGCATGTTCACTTATGTGTGTGTGTATGTGCCTGGTTATGGTGACTATAACATGTTAATAGTAAAAAACGATTCGCAGTCTTATCTCTTCGCAAACAATTCATCACTTGTGACACGACTTTGTTGAGCCAAATGTCAGCTTTAAAAAAGCGATGGTTTTCAATATGTTTAATATGTTTGCATACAAATGGTTTGCCAGCACTGTATGGATGCTGTAGAGTATGTAACACTATGTATAGCCGTATGAGTGCCACACCAGTAGGCAATGCATTATCTAATAGTATCTAATAGTTGTGAAACAAATCTCACGTTTAGTTTGATTGCTATAACTCTCGACGACTCCCGACGCCAGCGTTCACTGCAATGCAATGCAAAGCAATCACTCGCTCTTTGGCTTCACTTTTACTCCTTTTGCTGTTTTCGTAAAACTATTTATTGTTTCGCTAAAAGTATTAAAAGTATTCACAAATCTTATCCCCTTTTATGCGTTGAAATAATTTTCGCGTTTCCCATGATTTCTAATATGATTTTTATTCGCCAGTCATCTCCCGATTGCGAGAGCGCTAAGTGTGTTGTCTGTGACATACGATTGCATGCAAAGTGGTATTTGTTATCAATTTATTTATGTTTTGTTTCAGCGATTGTTTTGCTGTCATTTGCCTTTCATTCCCATATCTTCTTAATGTTCAACTCTTTGGCACTAAATTTCATTGCCTTTAAGTGATTCCTATAGCAATGTATAGAGAATTGCTTTTTTCTATTCCTATAGAAAGCCTTTAGGGATAGTATTGTGCCGTAAAAATGGGTTGTTTAGGATCAATGAGAGGCAATGGTTTGGTTGCCTATGCATTGCTATACAAGCGATGGTGTTATGAGTCTACAAATGAAACTTTGATTACAAGTCTATTGCATTGATATGGCATTTGTGGGCCCAAGAAATTGACTGAATTATGGATACATGAAAGGCATTATATAATACTCTATAGGAATGACAAAATAGAGGAAATTGATGTGCTTTTGGATGCCATGCCATTCGTATAGCTATTACTGGTTATGTCTGGAGTCGTAATGCGGTCTAAACTATAGCCTCGTCTGAAGCCCTGTTTTAAATATCTATTACCACAAAGTTTTATAGCGATTGAAAATATAAAAATATATATTTATTTGTATACATATCCGAATTGCATTTAGTTTTTGTAAATTTGTGCTCAATTGAACTCCATTTCCAATGGATATACCAATACTAGGAATACATTCTATTAGTTTTTTTAGATAAATATATGGCTTATATATAGCTGTACATAACGTTTTATATTACTCGTGTATTTGCCATAAAAGCCAATGCAATGCAAACTAATAAAAATGAAGCAAAAGTTGGCTTTAGTTGCAATTGATGAATGTGTTGAGACATTTGCATACGAATCCCATAATGTTAGTGCACTAAACATCTACTGTAATAGTATATGCAATAACATTGGCTTCTATTTGCTATTCTTGTGAAATGCGAAAAACTAGTGAAATATATTGCGATTATACTATATACTGTAGTCACTTATATACAGTACCAATCTCTGTTCAATATAGTGTCTCATACTGACAAACGCCCCGTTATTCGACGTGGAAAATGTGGACCTGTGCGGGACTGGTCGCTTTTTGTCCGTATGGGGTGGTCGAGGTATCAGTATTGTGGAACTGCCGCCTAAATGGGGCGCTTTTGGTGGCTATGAAGGTGGCAAGTCCTCTGTGCTCAGCAGGTATGCCATAACAACACATCGCTTAAACTACAGTAGTATAATAGTCTATAGTTGTGTATAGTATTAAGTTTATTGCTTAACCCTTTTATGTTTAACTCTTTGGTCGCATTTATTGATTTGGGCATAAAAGTGATGCCCATTTGTGTTGCTATGCAATAGTCCCTCAATAGATGGATATTACTGTTGTCTACTCTATCTGTGTATTACTTAAACTTCCAGTTATTCTCTATTCTATTCTCTCGACTCTTGAGTACATTCTCTGCATTACTATTATTGCAGTGAATCTCAGCGAAGATATCCATTATATAAAACAATTTGTGCTCTAAAGTTGAACAAAACAGATGGCAATTAAAAATGATAATAAGAGCAAAGAGCCCCAACACCACCTGCTCTGTACTCTCTCTCTCTCTCTCTCTCTTACCGCTCATTTACCACTTTTTGTGGTGCAAATGATTTCACTAATTATTATTAGCTATTAATTACTGTTTTATACAAAAATATATTTAGTGAACACTTATCTCTCCTCTCTCTCTCTGTTCTCTCTCTCTCTCTCTCTCTCTCTCTCTCTCTCCTCTCTCTCTCTGTACTCTCTCCATACTCTCCAACACTCTCTCCTTCTCTGCTCTCTTCACCATCTGATCAATACTTATATATCAGTTATAACTTATATATTCTCTGCATTACATTATATGTCAAATAATTTAAAGAGATTTTATATTTGCGTTTAGTTTTGACATCACTTTCTATAACCATCACTACTTTAAATGACATATTTTGATGTCTTTCCGCCCATTCCTATTGGATATGAGACCAAAATTCATTAGAATTAGAAACAGCTTTAAATTTATTGATTAAAACTTCAAATACAATACACTCTCCCCATATAATACACTATTGATTAGATTTTGAATAAATTTCTGATATTTTCAAATAATTAAATTTCAAATTGCATTTGAGAATAATACTCACAATAAGAATATTCATTAAAACACGAATTGAAGCATAAATTAAAGCACTTTTGTCTGAGTGTTGGCATTATATAAGATTTCTCTGTCTGCCTATTACTTACGATTCATTCAACTCATTATAAACTGTTGTCTCGCATCAGGTCGTGGTCTTTAGGCCAGAGATTCTTTATCTGCAATCAAAACATACAACTCTTATGCAGTCGATGGCACCCAAACAGTCCTCAGCAACACATTGTTCTGCTAATCAATGACAACAGTCTCAGGTCTGACCCACTGTTTCACTCAATTTGCATAACACTAACAGAAAGCCTTTGTTTTGGGAAACATATGACAGAATCTTCGACATCCACGAGGAGGAGACCCCCATCCAAGTGATCGACTTGTCCGCCACAGACCCCAACTCATCCGTCAAACACTTCGGTGTGTCTGCGTTTGCGACCTCTTTGGGTGACAATGCGGTCAGCTATGACTTCGGGCCCTCCATTTCCAAGTGCTATGACGTGGAGCCGTCCGCTGTGACCACCGCTGACGAGTGTCTCACTCCTATATATGTGTTGAGAGGCAATGGAGACGTTCTGCTGGTCTACTCGAGCCTCAAATACGCTTACGTCTCGAACAACGTGTTCGGACCCTTGACTATGAGACCCCCGGCCGAAGATAACTATGGCGTCGACGCCTGTAGTATAGTTTGTTTGGATTGTGTGCCACCAGTGCTAGTGATCGCCACTTCGTTCGGTGTTCTCCATCATTGCATAGCACTGGACGGCGACAACGAGTTGGACTCCAATCAGGCACTCCTGCCTCAGCCCACGCTCTATGTCTACGAGACGATTGAGTTGTCGCTGTCGTTGACAACCAGCTCTGACATGCAGGACATGAGCTCTACGTTGAGGCTACATAAGGATCACATGATTCCCATGCGATACTTCTGTAGCCATTCGTGTGGATTACACGCCATATCCGTGCCATTCGTATCGCAATTAAAGTCGAAAGACGAGCAAAACTTTCACGAAGAGGAGTCAATAGTAGAGCACTTGATTTGCACCAAACCTATTGCCGGTGCCAATGAGAGTACCGATGATAACGCGGTGCCCATCGTTCCCTTAGGCGTTGCGGTTGGCGTCCAAAACGGTTATACATTCGTGTTAGTGATGCTGAGCTCAGGCGAGCTGATGGGCCGTCGATTGACGCCGACATACATCGCACACCTATTCGATGGAGAGGACAATGGTCTCGATGACAACGAGTCCAACGTGTTGTCAGATATCTCTGTACCGAAAGTGGATTTCAATGAATACATCAAACAATTGTTGAAACGAAATACAAGCGTTCCTCTGCTTAAGTCCAAAGAGCCCACAAATAAGGAGTTGTCGCAGAATCTGGAGCTCCTGTTGACCACAACCGACACATTAAAGTCGGAGTACATTAAACGATATGATTTGGTGGCCAACGCTATCGACAAAAGAGCTAAAGTGTTGACGAATGACAAAGAGGTTCAGTTACAAGAGCTCAACAAATGTCTGTCCGAAAAGGACTCACTGATGAACGGGTTGTTAGTATTGGTGGACAAATACGACGAGACGAGAGAGCGTCAGGAGGGGTTGACTGAGAGGATCAACAAAGTGCTCGAATGCCTACAGTTTCAAAGGCCGGAGTTGTCGGCCGCGGAGATGCAACTGCGGGACGAACTGAATCTCATACGGGAGAGGGTGGGCGCCCATCGCAACAAATTACAACAAATACAAGTCAAGTGTAAATACCAAACCCAACACAACCAACAAATCGGTGACCAAAGCACTGACCTATCGTCCGCCCAAAGGGGTTCACCACATAAACCCATTCCCTCCCCCAACCAAATGAAGGGCATTCGAGAGATGTTAGCCAATCAGTGAGTAGTGATTACATAATTACATAAACAAATAAATGACAACTAAATGTATATAAAAAGCGGTCAATTTAATTAATATATTGATTCACTTTTAGGTCCGAATCAGTGGCAGAATTGCTTCAAACGGTCAACAAAATGACTAAAAGTGAAGCAATTGAATAACTCGTTTGAAATTGTATTTTTAAATGTTATTTAAAGCACAAATCATTTTTTACTATATTATAAATAAAACCAGAAAACGGCATTTCATTTTAAAATCAAATTTAAAACATTGTTGTGTTTGTTATGTACGGTATGTATAGAATAGCAAAAATAGTCGAATGATTAAAAACAATTCATCAATTATATCCTAAATGTTAGTGTGATTTGTTGTATAATTTGTTTTCGTATTATAGAAAATTAGGCACTAATTCATATATATTTCAATATATAATTCCATTCAATTCTTTCAATAATTTAAATATAATTTATCGATAAGTTATTAATTTATATAATTAATTAAAAATAGAAAAAAATTGTTTACTTAATCCTAAAACGTGAAAAGGGGTCAAAGTTGATACTAAATGGTGGGTGAAAACGGTAAACAAAAAAAAAGAAAAACAATTTATTAGAAATCAATTTATTATTTAAACATAATTTACGAAATATTATTAGAATTTGTTGCTTAGAAAGTGGTATTCATTTTCCTTTTAGACCTACTTTTTTGACATTATTCTTAACGGGTAGTGATGGCGACCGGTTGGGTGTCTTCATGGAGAACAGTTGTGAGCGGGAAATGCCGTTATTATTAGTTGAGTAGTTGTTGGTGCAGTCCATGGCCTCGTCCTCCAATGGATCGTCAGCGCCGTTGCGACTCGTGTTGGGGAACAGCTGTCGGGGCGACGACTTGATTTGGTTAAGTATCTCCGGGCTATTGATCTTACGGGGCGAGTGATTGCGACCCCTCAGGAGGAATGGTTTGTGCATTTCCTCCAAAACGGACGGCGCTATGTATGTGAAGCCCAGGAACACGTTGTTGGCGGACTCACTCAGCAGCGAGTCGTCCGGCGAGTCGATTGGCGTCTGTTTCGTGAACTTAGTGTCGAATTGTGAACAGTCGTCGTCGCCCACGAGCACCGGTCGGAACGGAGGCTCCACTCGTTGTGCCAACACATCCTCCCAATTAACGTGTCTGAAGAACGCGTGCCGTTTGATGGGCGTTGCGTCGTCGGCACCGGCACCCAGCCGTTGAGTCACCTGTCGTTTCAGTAGTTTGCGAATGAGGTCACGAGCGTCAGGCGTCAGATACGGCGGGAGATTTAGTTTGCATTTCAGTATTTTGTCGATTGTCTTCTTGCGGTTCTCGCCCGTGAATGGCGGCGCACCCGTCAGCATGTCGTACATCAACGCTCCCATTGACCACCAGTCGGCTGACACACGAAGGCATAAAGCAAACACTCGTTAGACAGGAAATGGACAATAAATGGTCACAAATCTAGTAATTTTCTAATAAAACTCGTGTCTAAAGCTGTTAGATATAATTGGATGGAAATGGATGCCTACCGGCGTGCATGTGTCCGATTCGGGTCAGTATCTCAGGCGCCATGTACTCAATGGTGCCGCAGAAGGTGTGGGTGACCTTCCCGTCCTGAATGGCCTCTTTGCAGAGACCAAAGTCTGTGAGCTTCACGTGACCGCTATAGTCGAGTAGTATGTTCTCGGGCTTGAGGTCGCGGTATATGATCCCCAATGTGTGCAAGTGTTCCAACGCTAAGATGATCTCCGAGATATAGAAGGAGGCCGTGTCCTCCAGGAATATGCCCTCCCGTTCCAAATGCATGAACAGCTCACCGCCGCTCAGGTAGTCGAGGATCAGGTATAGTTTGCCACCGGTTTGAAAGGCGTAGATCAGGTCCACAATGAATGGGTGTTTGACGGACTCCAAGATATTCCTCTCGGCCTTCGTGTGGTCCGTGTCCTTCTGGTTGCGCACAATCGTCGCCTTCTTCAGCACTTTCATGGCATACACTTTGCCGCAGTTGTTTCCGGTCACTTTGCGCACCTGAAACACCTTCCCGTACCCTCCCTTTCCCAACACCTTCAACAGCTCGAAGTCTTTGGTCGTCGTCTTCTCGTGTCCCGAGTTTACCATTTGTTCCGTCAATTCCACGGAATCCAAGAGAAGGCCCGCCTCTTCGCTCAGTTGCAGAGCACTCGACGGCTCGTAATTCACGATCTGTTCAGACATTTCGAGTGACAGAGGAATGGGTTAGTGATGGCTGTGCTTATGAGGGCACTGTAGGACTGGTAGGCAGTGGCAGACAATGGTTGGGCACCGGATGTACAGACCTGTGTGTCAGTGATGATGGCGTCCTCGTCCTCATCGAAGTCGGAAACACATCCGTCGATGGGATCCATTGGGAACACATAATTGGAGTCAAATTGTGAGGTCATTGTCATCCGTGGCTAAGAAGTATCACTCAAACGACAGTCAATTGTCTTTAAACGACAAACCAATCGCTGAACGAGTGGTCAGTATTGTGTCAAACGTTGCGACAATTGAATGGATAATGAATTACAGATTGAAAGCCAATTGAAGTGAAAATAAGTGACAATTAGAGAGGTTTTCATTATTTTCACTCATTTTTGAGCTTTAATTGTGTGAATGAATGTTATATTCAATTGAAATCAAAACAATTCACACATAAAACCAATGAATCGTATAATGAGTTCAAAATGTGATTCAATTTTGAATCCGTTTTTCACGTATTTATCGATAAAAACCACTTTAATTGCGAACTATTTTGGCTGACATTTGCACATCAATTACGACCACTCAATGCAAACATACTTTGTGTCCCCCAACCCCTCAGATATTCATTGAATGGCTATAATGTTAATGAATTTAACTTTTTTTTATACGATTCTTGAATTGAGTCAAACAAATAGCTATTCATTGATTGAAATGATATAAATATTTAGAGATTTAATAATATGTTTAGTAAATATTCATAAGAAATGTAATCCTTATGACATGTAATTAGTCATTGAATGCATTGCACTCTCAATGCATAATAATGAATAATATTTGACATTATATTCAAACAATTCTTACGAAACGATTGCATAAATGAATGCAAAGCATAAGAATTGACAGACAATTGTATAGCAATTGAATGAACGCTCAACTATTTGAACGTAATGTAGAAAAATATTCATTCATTTATTATTATAAGTAATATTATGTATATAACGTTTGATTAGTTGACACTTTGTCGTGAATAATGAACTGATTATTATATTCTCGACACTTAAGCAAATATTCACTACTTTGTTGGCATTTAATTGCATTGTTTTATTAGTACACAGAATAATGTCAACTATTTTTGGGCACAACTCTTGAGAAATACAACCACTTATTGGTTGTGCTCTCATGTAATATCACTAATAAGTTGTGCCTTTTTTAATTGTTATCTGTAATAATCTTAAGTATAATTATTAATATATATTTATAGCAATTTAGTTGCGATAACGAGTTATTCACATGTTTTTCATGTATTTCACAGATCATTAAAAAAGCGATTTTTCATTGCAATAGAAAACAATCAAAAATAAAGTTTGTGAACACATTTGGGAATTATTTGCTATTAATTTATGAAGAATAGGATTTTGTGATATTTGACTAAATTCTGAGTTTAAGTTATTATAGCAAAGTTTTTGAGTTATGATTATTAAGAGCATAAAAAAGAGAGTTATGTATTCAATGAGCTATTGATTTGTTTGTTAACTTACTTTCAGTGAATACCGTAATTAATATTCATATAATTTATGCCATACTTTTTGATGTCTTATTAATTAATGAGTTCTTTTAATAGTTCACTGAATATATTATTGTAAATAATTATGCGCTCAGAATAAAAGCACTGACAGATAGCATGCCAGCCCTCAAGCATTCAAGTAATTCCAGTCAAGAATTTATATAAATTTATGATTTTATGTTCACTTCTTTAGAAAATATTCTCAACAAAAAAATCTCAAGGATTTTGTCGTTGAATATGAAATGTATTGACACTGAACTCAATTCAACTGATAATGAGTTTGACTTTCTATAGTTTATCAAAAAAGTGTTGCAATTGATTAGAGTCTAATCATTAGACATATAAAAAAATAATTTATTTAATGCGAGCTAAGATTTAGCGCACAATTGTATGAAATGGTAATGAATTATGAGTTTTTTGCATACATTTAAATATCGTTTTTTATGATTTATTTTGATATAACAGAACTTCTGTTACAGAAGAATATTTTCGCTGGAATTCATAAATCAATTTTGATATCTCTGTAGTGAAACACCTGTAGCTCTTGTGTAATAAACAGTGTGCTCTGATTAGATACCTGTCCCTGGACTGAATATACTGACAATGAAATAGTTTTTTTGCGAATAAAAATGGCATTAAATGTGTTTCACATTCAAAAGAATTGTAATATTATTTACTATAGACTTTGCAAAACATATTTTAGTAGACAAATCATATTTTGATTGAAATTTTGAAATCACAGAAACACTAGACTTATTAAAATAAAAAATATAACTTTATTTTCACAACCTTATGAATAAATTACATAAATATTTGGACAGTTGATGAGTTGAATCTAATATCTGAGTTCAAAATATTTTCGGGTGGAGTCATGCTTTCGGATGACCTGATCGGCGATATCCCACCACAGGTTGGTGTCATCCCACTGCCCGTTGCGACTCGAAAACCAGGGCTTTTTGTCGCCGTAATAGTGAATCATTTGTGGCTTAATGTTGGGCTCAATAATCTTGGCGATGGACAGCCATTCAGATTTGCCGGCCGACCAGTTATAGCACTGATGGATGTGTGAAAACGATTGGTTTAGCGAACAATAAGTGTTGCAAATTAACTGCTCGTCGAAACCACTGAAACACTTACTCCAACCGAATACCGGGTTTTGGTTCAATAGTCTGAGCATATGTTGGAACACCCTTTGGTCGGGTCTCAGTAATACTAAGGATCCGATGCCCACAAACGTGTCGAATCCCTTGTCTATAATTTCTTGTGCCGATAGTTGAAACCCGTGCGGAAGCTCTCCATACAGATTGTCTATACCATGAGGACTGTACGGCTTAGCCCAGGGCAGGGAGAAAGTCATGGCCGGCGGTTCCAGTGAGAAGATCTGGTCATCGCAGTTGTCGACAGCAATCATATCCGCGTCGATGAACAAGACTTTGTCGAATGAGCCGAAGATCTTCGGGTTAAGACAATTCCATTTCGTGAACGACTCTTCGATCCAATTCCCGTATAATACTCTTTGGCGCCGATTCTTGAAATCAATACATTTGTGACGAATGTAGGGCACTGTCCACACGTGGTCGAAGAACCTGGACAATACTTTAATACTTTTTGTGGTGATATCATTGGTTACCATACATATGAGACTGCATTTAGTGCCACTGTTTTGTAGGCTTTGGGCCAATACGAGAGCGCCGGCGATATACTTATCATCTTTCATAACGAGAGTCACATAAGCCATGGAACACATCGTGGAGTAAAGTATTGCTTAAATTACTATTATTTTAAACCATCTTGTTATTTAAACATATGTTTCATTTTGTTTTTAGTTTAATAAACACTGATTTATAAGGAATATTTAAATCATCTATGTTTATAGACGTACATTGATGAAAATATTGTTAAAACATTATTCTCGTTTTGTAAATATAAGGCATTTGTAGTAAAATAGGAAAATTGTATAATAGTTAACACTTATTTCAATTACATTTGTAATCAAATCGAGTTTTATTAGCCTTGAATTGAAAATGCTTTGATTCAATAACAACAACTACTTCTTTTTATTTATAATATTATGTAACGATTAGGGAATTTGCTCTTAATTTGTATTACAATTAATAGCAATTTGATAATAACCGAGGCAATTACTAAAAATCTTCTGATTTGCTTTGATAACTAAATTAAGATCTTAAAGTTATTTCAATTTATGATTTGTAAAACAAAACATATGATATTCATTTCCTTTTATAATAATATTTTTTCCCTAATAATATCCTTTAAATATAAAATATAATTCACTGATATTTTATTTATAAACATTTATTAATTTATTAGAGAACACTGTATAGCAATTTAGTTTATGAATTATTGTACTAGTATTACGTTTATATTGTATACAAATTATTTATACACTAGTTTAAAATTTAATTATAAGAATTTATAAACCGATGCTATTAACTTACTACAATGAAAGAGATACTGTTGCATATAAAAAATGTACGGCATACGTACACAATTAACTTTATAAAATGAAAAAATTCTATAATTATCCTGGTACAAACATAATTTATTAGATAATAAAATGTTTATATCATTGAATAATAGTAAATTACGAAGAATAAACATGTTTTATAATAAAATTCTTGAAAATTTTGATACTAATTATAGAATCATTATATTTGTCGATTATTAATATGCAAGTATAAAGGATATACATAATATAAGAATATTTTCGTAGAAAAAGTTACAGTTATATAGTTATCTATTAATAGATATATTTTAGTAGACACTAAAATATAAGACATAAATTAAAAAGAAGTTTAAACCATTTGAGTTGAATTTAAATAAACAAAAATAAAATTTATATAATTATTATCGCTAGACATTAAAATAGTAATCACTTGTTTAATGAATAAATTTATTGATTTGAAGGCAATTTTTCATTATTCTCATTCTCATAAATTGTATTAACTTATTTGTTATATAAATTTTATTTATTTTCTTAATATTTTGTTGTAATGTACAATAATTTTATAATTATTTAAATAAATATAATATTATATAAAGTTAACTTTATTACATTAGCATAGCTATTACTGTTAATTAGCACATTATAAAAAAATTAAAGTAATTTACAAAATATTACCAATATATGATAAAATAAATAATTATAAAATCAATGATACAGTAATTGTCTAGCATTTTGTAATAATGACAGAATCATATCTAAATTACTATCTGCTTTAAAGTTTATAATTTAATTTCATTGATCTTTATTTGAAATATTTTCTAAACTTTACAATTCGTGTCAATCCTTAGGAATGTTTCAATAATTACTGCATTGGGAGGTAGTGTTTGAAATAAAATCGTTTATTCAATCGTTTATTACATACTTTATTATTTCATTTGTAAAATAGTTTATTTTGAGATTAAGTGAAAACTAATTATAATAATTATTATAATTAATAAACTTTCGTATTGAGTGCTTTAACTTAATTCTAGAGGATATTTACAAATATTTTGTATAACTGAATATAAATGTCAAATAAAATTTGTGTTAACTCTAGGAGTGTATGGACTGACAGATCGTATTGATATGTCTGACGTACGATAACTTGAAAGCGAACTGTCGGTAGAATTGGTGCAACTTTTTTGTTCGTTGATAACTTCAATGTACTCAATAAGACAACAGTGTAGCAAATGTCAAACCTTTCAACCTTTCAGACATATCATAAGTTTAAATCCATTCACTGTTTCTGTTTTATTAGAAATTACATTTTTATTTTTACACTATCTCTCAAATTTTTATATTTGCTTTGAAAGCAATCTTTTGGCAAAATCTTAAACAATATTTAGTTTTCACACAAAAATCATATAATAATAATATATCAGAACTTTCTATAAATATCTTAATTAATAAATACAATAAAAATGAGACAATTCTTTGGTTAATTCGATTCAATTAAAAAATGAGTTATGAATGAAAGCGAATTGAAAACAATGAGTTTGTCATGAAATAGATGAACGAATTAATGAATTGTACGGATAATGTGTGGAAATGAATGAATGAATACAATGTTTATAAGCTTAATAATAATAAATGTAATGAATAGATGAATAGTATGTGTGTATTTGGCGCTAAGGTTTAATATTATGTGCCTTTTCTCTGTGAATGTTGAGAGTGTGTTTCCACGAGAACTGTCGGTGACATAACTCACACTCAAACTTATTTCGGTAATAGTTATGGATCTGATAGTGTCTCTGCAAATTGCGTTTAGCAGTGAACCCCTGATGACAGATATGGCAGTGGAACCGCTGCTGACGCATATGAAACACCGATTGAGACCCCAGTCGAGAGTGTAATCCCTTCTTCGACGACTTTGATCTGCGTTTTTCTGTAAATATCAATCAAATGAGTCCAACATTAGACTTCTCTTTCAATCCATTTGTAGATTACAATTATCACACAATTAGTATTAGAGATATCATATAAATGGCAAACATTTATAAAGTATTGTATTTTATAAACTTTCAAAACAACAAAACTATTGAATTTCCGATAACAACAAAATATTTTAAATATTTTATAAACAAATTCAAAAATTCATTGCCAACATAACATTTACGGTATACATACAGTATATGACTACAAGTATAAAATAAAATGTATTCAATAACTGTTGAATGCAATGGATAATAGAAAAACTATTATATACGGGTACAGTAATTATGAAATTGAGTCAAAAGTGTAAATAAATGATGCAATGATAACAACCTCTACTAAATAAAAGTATTGTTAAATAAACAAAACTTATGACTGACCGCTAGATTTGAGTGAGTTTTGTGAACGACTTGTGCCCGCAATGGATGGAATACCCTGAGCGTCATCACCGCACGGGTCGATGAACCGCATCTGCGGCTCATAAGTGTCGACATCTTGACTATCATTTGTGGTGTGATTGAGGTGTGAATCGGAGTTTTCATTTGTGATTTGCGATATCAAACCAATCGGTTCGTCATATATCATAGTTTTCATGTCTTAACACACAATCAGACATTCATTAGTCATATACCCTAAGCAATGAATGGCAGAACTAATACCTTCTCCGTCGACATTAGACATGAGATGAGGTGTGGATGAAGAGGAGTATTGGTTAATACTATTACTTTCCTGAGTCTATGACCACAAAAGCAATCATACATTGAGTGATACGGTACTTAAGAAGTGGACAACAAATAAGACTCACATCTCCGGTGATCATCGACTGCTCGAGTAGTCGCGAGGGTTCGATGCCATCCTCGGAGGCGCCCACACTCTCGTTGTAAGCGCGCGAACCACTCAAGTCAGTGGGAGTGCACACCAATGACTCGCCGCTCTCGCCGTCATCCGAGTACTCAGTCATGTCTTCGTCATCCGACGGGTGCGCGTCTTTGCCGTCGTTATCATTGGTCTCATTGTCTGTCTTGTGATTCGTGGTCTCGTTTGGCTCAGACTTGCGTCGGTGTCGTCGACGGCGCCGTCGCCTCGAGATAGTGGTCGCAGTGTTGGCCGCGTTGTCCCTCCGGTGGTGATCGATGTCGACGAGGCCTTTGATTCTCAAGGCTTCGCCCGACCGGATGACGGACTCGAGCTGTTCCTGCGCTACCGTCACTTCGCCGGTGTATATGAACTCAATGATGGCTCTGAGGTCAGCCATCGGCATGTCTTTGAGGTAAACCATGGGATAGTTTGGCCACTGATTGGACATCTGGTCGAACACTGTCCTGAAGAAGGGACTGCTGGCCGACAGTATCATCCGATGGGCTTTGAGAGCGTGTCCTTCAGCGCACATGAGGGCGCAGTCAGTCATCGACTCGTCTTTGAACATCCGGTCGAAAGACTCGATCATATCTGAGATATGGTTAGCCTTCCGAAGACAAAAAGCCTGACTCTGGGGGTCAGCCATTGAACGGATGGTCGACACGTCTGAAGAGACCACTGAATACTCTTTCAATTGATTGCCTTTCAATACACAGTAAACGAGCATTAATTCAATCGACAAGACGAATGTCTTGAGCGGTGACCGTGGGATCAGTTCAATGGGACACTAGTCTTGAGCACAAAAACGTCAAAAACTTTGTCTTTTGTGTTGTTTTGTTGAATCAAAACATTTTCAATCATTCATTGCTTTCAATGCAAACCATTTGTCCACTAATTATGACTTCATTTCACATCGAATTCTGTTAGCAATTCAATGCAAAGGGAGTCATAAATACCTTTCAATTCGTGACGTTATTTGCGATCAGTTCTATCGAAACATTTTCTGTGAAAATCTGTTCATTTGACAAACCGTTAGATAGTGTTCACAAAACATGTGACGATTTATTGTGGGATTCCCTACTCTATTATAAAATATTTTGTGCAAAAGAAATATAATTTTAGTTGAATAACATAAAAAGTCTGGTGAACTTATTTATTCTTTATCAATATAGTAAATTCCTAAACGAATCTTGCTCAGTTTATATATATTTTACTCAAAATATCTAATTATTTGATTACTCAATAAATTTTGAAGTCATAAGCCGTAACAGTGTTTGCGAGCAGTGCTGTAATGAATGCAGTGTTTGAGTTGTTGTCCAACAAATCGATTGATGTTTTGATTCACTGTTTGTCTGATTGAGTCATTCAGACAACAGATGTTTGACATAAACTGTCATTAAATCACTTCTTAGGATCAGATTCACTGCACCATTGATTGTGGCAAATGTCAACCTCGTGAGTATTGCTACCATTGCTTGCATTGTGTGCACGGATTGACTCGAAAATTGAGTCATTTTTTGAGTGACATTTGTGCGACCAATGAGTGGTCTGTCTGTGGATTCAATTGATGTCTTCGTTTGATGACTGATAGGAACGGTATATACGGCCAGACGTACGACCGATATGTGGAACGATACGACGACTCGACACTATCGCGAATGCAATGCCATTACTGGACAACAAAACAGACATTTCTTCGCAAATTGAAGCGCAAAGAAGACGATTGTGTTGTGGCTTCCGATGCGGAACTGGACGCCAAACTCGAGGTATGCATTGGTTTGTGGTTATGATAGCCTTTATGACCCGGGATTGCAATGTCCGACAGCTGTTGCGCTCGATCGACGAGTCGTGTCAGAACCTGCTGCTCGTGCTGGAGGCCTATCAGGACCGCATCTGTGGGTTGGCTCACGAGGAGGCGGCCGCCGGACGCTTCCTCAAAGAGTGCGCGAAACTCGATAAGACGAGAGCCGGCAAAATGATGGCGGCGTCCGGGAAGACACTCAGCTATAGCGCCCAACAGAGGATTCAGTTGCGGAACCCATTGGTGAGACTGTATCAGGAAGTGGAGACATTCCAGTACAGAGCGGTGGCCGACACGATGCTCACCGTCGACAAGATGGAGTCGGCGCGCACCGCATACCGGGCCGCTCTGCTCTGGATGAAAGACGTGTCGCAACAGTTAGATCCGGACACTTATAAACAGTTGGAGAAGTTTCGTAAAGTCCAGAGTCATGTCCGCAAAACGAAGGTCCGCTTCGATCGCATCAAATTGGATACTCTCCAGAAGATTGATCTGTTGAGTGCCTCGCGTTGTAATATGTATTCACACGCTTTGGTTGGTTATCAGAACTCTTCGCTCCAGTTCTGGGAGAAGTCATCGAAGACGATGAGTGCTGTCGCCGACTCTTTCAAGGGATACCAATACTATGAGTT